ACATTTAAATTTTTATAGGTTTTCATCATCATTTGATGTATTTGCACTCATTGTGTCTACTTTTAATGTTCATTTTAGATGTGTGGTTTCCTTTCTTGTTTACTTATATACATTTTATTTTTAGCTTTGCTTTAAAGTTGTTGTTTTGTGATTTGTACATTTGTGGGTTAAAATAAAGTTGAACTGAAGGTCGTATCTTCTTTAAACATGTTTGAGGGAAATATTCCTGAGATCCAATAGTTTTGTGTCTTTTTATGATTTTCAGCTGAGTTAACAGTCATTAAAGTGAAAACAGGATTTCATGATGAAGCTGGCACCGTTTTTTTTTTTTTTAATCTTCAACGCTCTGCTGGTCTTGCACGACACTGTCCGCAGTCACACGATCCTCTCCTCCGGAGGCTGGGAGACTCATCTTCCCAGCTCCGAGCTCCGCTGGTGACTCGCAGAGGCCGTTCCAAGACTCCAGCCGCGCGTAATCATGAAGGTCCGACCCGCGCAGACAGGCGGACAGAGACGGGTCTGCGACGAACGGTGGAAGCGATTTTAAAAAACATTTTACGTGTAAAAAAATAATAATCATTTTTAAATCGCTTCAGCATTTTTTTAAAACATTTTTTGTATAAAAACAAAATATTATTTTATTTAAAAATCGCTTCCAGCGTCCGTCCTAGACTGTCCAGTCCGCCTGACTGCCGGGTGGGATCGGGATTCAGCCTTCATGATTACGCGCGGCCGGGGTCTGGCAACGGCCTTCTGCGAGTCCCCATCTCCAGCTTCGCAGTAACCTGCGGAGCTCTGAGCACACAAGGCTGGTATCCGGAACCCGAGCCTCCGAGTCGGCACATCGAAGGATCTTCCGCGGTGACCAGCTGAACTTGGAGCCGGGGAGATGACGCCCTGCCCGGTCTGGCGCTCGGAGGCTCCGGAGGGAGGATCGGGGTACACCAGCAGAGCTCCATCCAGCTTGCTCTGAATTATGTTGTCGGCCACCAAGCACAAAAAATGCCAGCACATCAACATTAGACTAAGATGTTGTCAGTGTTGTTTTTAAAATCTTTAAAATAATTCCAGCCACGGCTCCAGTCTGAGAAATTGCAAATGGCGGATTATTGTTTTGAAACGTTTCTGAAGGATCCAGTGACTCCGCCCCCGACCAATCAGTGACTGACAGTGTACTGACGTCACGTTTTTGTACCTCTTCGTACCGGTTAGAACCACAGAGCCAAGGGTACTGAAAATAGTAACAGGTGCTAAGTACCGGTACTAATGGAAAAGCCTCAGAACCGGGCCAAGTAGGGTCGAGTCGGCCCGTACCGGTACTAATGGAAAAGGGGCAATAGATGACACTTAATGAGACATTTGAGTAAACCTTTATAAATTAATTTTTGAAACAAAATGACTTAGGTTAACCTTGCTGAATATGAAAACCTGGAAAATTTGTTTGAGACAAACGTTTTCTTCAACATTTTATGAAAACCTGCATATTTACTTTTCAAGCTTACAAAGTTAAGCACAGTAATTAAATCAGATTAATCACAGCCCCAGAGTGAGATTAATCCGATTAGAAAATTTAATCGATTGACAGCCCTAGTTTACTGTTTAAAAACGGCCTCTGTTTTACACAACGTGGTGGGTTGCCAGTTGGGCTTTTTTGGGCTTATTTTCATAGAGCTAGTTGCTTGTTTCTATCGCGAGATCTGGCAACACTGAGCCCCAGAGCTGCAGACTTCAGAAAGGGCTCAACAAAAACATTCACTGCATGCGCACATGCACGCATGATAATTCAAGTCCATGCGCAGTTTTATTAACCTGAAAGATCATATTTCTGATTTTTCCTCCTGACACTTGTTGCTAGCCTTCTTATAGCAACTTTTAATCAGTTCTCAAGACATTTTCGTTGTTTCCTCCTAAACATCGTAGACAGGAGGTATGCACACAACTTCCAGAAAGTTTAGTTAAAGCAGATCCAGAAACCTGAGTTAGCATGACTCCAGCATCAGCATGAATGTGATTATCAAACCAATACCGGTACAAACGGAGACAATACGATCATTCTGAGTATGACATTTTGCATATGTGAATTTGTTCACATTAGGGAACAAAACCAGCGTTGTGCACAGTTTACCAGCATGTCTGCACGAACGCTGCAAACTTCGTGGATGCGCTAGCTAATGCTCATTAGCTTTGCGGGATTAATCCTAAAATAAAACCTTCAAAGAAAGTTTACGACAAACACGATTGTTTTTAAGCACAACTTCAGCAGACAAACATGCCATGTGGCCTATCCTTTGCACCCCTTGTTGAGGGCAACATGGCTGGCCTGCTTACTCTAGAAGCTAGCAAAGCCTTACCTTGACAGAGAAACCTTTGGCCGGGACACTTGAGGATGTGTAACAGGCAGGCCCAGATAAAAGCGCTGTGATTTACTCGTCTGCTCAGGGTAAACGACCCGACGGAACCACAAACAAAATGTCTCAGCGGCAGACTGCTTTGTAG